TTAGCATTTACGGGAAAATTGCTCTCCCAAAAATCTTTGTCAACCAATATTTTTATTTACTGCAAAATTCCCCCCAAAAAGTGACTTTTTTTGGAGAAAATTCGGCTAGTTTTTTCACCAGCTGTCATAGAAAGTTAATAAACATTTCGATTATCCTCTAAGGGAGTCTTCACTCATTGTAAATTCCACTGCAAACGAACGACGATATTTTCAACAGATTTGAATATTTATCATTCGTTTCTAAAAGCTAGACAAAGCATTTCTTACACACAATGAACGCTCGAGGTTCTCGAAGATTGGAGATCGTCTATCGAAATGTCCATATTCATATTGACTGATTTCATTATCGATAAACCGATACACTGTCGCGAGTAAAATGGTCCGCTAGTTGTTAGTAATGTCTCTTCTTAGTCATCAAGGAGTTCTATTCTTAGCATTTTCGCGCCGAAGAGAACCGTTCATCGATTCCACATTGAATGAACTGAGTGAGTACGACCTTCAAAAATAACCCTCTAATTATCATGACTTTCTTTGATTTTTTTTAATCAAACAGATTAGACTAACTTCCTCAATTATCGACGTTAACTCGCGAAAGGTTAAAATTTCTTGCCTAACGTCATTTTAACGAGTAATCTTTTAGTGATTTGACTTTTACATTAATGCATTTGCTACCGGAACTAAGAACTACGTGAAGACTTTCAATGTTCAAAGTGTCAAACGGTGCCATCAAGTATTTGTGTTCACAATTTTAGGCTAACTGCAAAGCAATTTTATTTTTACCAAATTGGAAGGGATTAGAAAGCTCGGCTGTTCTCTATGAGTTCGTTATTATTTCCACAATGGCGACACTTTGGGAGATGGCAGCTTGGCAAGGGGGGGGGAGGTCTTTGGGGATGACAGCTTGGCAGGGGACGGGGGTGGTCACCACTTCCCCTTCCCCCCTCCCCCCTCCCCTTGTGGAGACTTTTTTTTAATGTTTTCGAGTTGTTGTCTTTATATTTATTTTTATATAATTTTTTTCTATTCTTTTATCCGCTCCATAGTATTTACCGCCTCACTTTTATTCTCTTTTGCTCTACCTCTTTTGCAGTCTCTTGTGTTTTCTCTCTCTGTTTTTCCTCTTATTCTTCCTTTCTTCCTTCTTTTCTTCCGTAAATCTTTCTCTTTTTTTTTCACCTGTTGGGGTTCCTGTGGATTGAATTAGCAACCGCTCCTACCATAACGCGGAGTATTGCGATTTGAACACAAACCCGCTGACTCCATATATATTTAAGTAACTAGTGTTTACTTATATTGAAAAGCGCGAGGACACTATGTCGGCGCTGAAATAAAAAARGTTCGCCTCAAACATTTCCCAGATTTTGCATTCGGGTTGACAAAGTTTGCGCGCGAATATTAGCTCGAGCATGCGCACTGATAGCCACTGATTCGTGCACAAAGGGCGCTACTTGAATCTTTCGTAAAAGATATTCGAGGAAATTTGAATGAAATAATTTCATATCAAAACAACCTAAAAGTTCAAATGAAARTAATCCATTTAAAAGTGAAACTCTTATTGAATTTTCCAATTATTCACAAGCTTTTTGGAGGGTTTTATTTGTTTGTTGACAACTTGTTGTGAAAAGTAAACAATGACAGAAAAMATTCCTTAATGGGATGATCATGTGTTAAACTTGATTAGGGTACTCTACCACACCCAGTTTTTCTGAGGCTCGTAATTTACCTATTACGCRTGTTCTTATWTGATWTCCRAGCCCATCCCACACGGCTTACTGCCCGCWCGTTTTTGTAGCAGCAGAGTATCTTCTCTAGTTATAGCCTACACATTTGCATCAACTCGCAATCGCTAATACTAAGATACGCAATCAAGTGCCTTACGTGATTTTTCCCCTAACATTAATGATCTCCCTATATCGGCGATCTTGTCTTCTGCACTGTCATATCTGACTAACACTTCCGCGGTGGTTTAATGTCACTTTAAGCCGCGGAACTATGAGTTCCTGTTGTAGTACTCCAAACAACCAAGCAGTTACAAACAGATTTTCATATATATTTATAATTAATTCGAGGCTTTCGTGTGTTTATTTGTTGGTCTTCATCGTGTGGTCATTTGGACAAATCCCTCCAAATCAAGGTATTTTTAACTTTTCTATTTTTGTTTGTTCTCAAAGTCTGACCACCGATTCCAGGATTAAATATTGGTGAAAAATTTTRTGCTATTTATTCGCTTCGTGGTCGCAAACCTACACCATCCACACGCGACAATCGTTCAATTCATTTTCAATCGTGTTCCTCGCGATCGCGTGCACATAAGCTCCCCTTGCCGCTCAAACAATGCACTTACTCATCAAACACGCACAAGCCTAAAGGATTTAGACTCAAATATTTGCTTTTGACGAAGGAATCTTACTTCAATTTCACCTCATACGTTAAAAGACTGGATAAAGTCAACACGATTAGATCTGCRCAGTTATCTTTATTAGAACGGATTGCATGTGACGAAAACAAGAAAATAGCTGTCACTACTTAACGATGACTTCTTTATCCCGCTTAACCGTTAGCTGGGAAAGTTCTGCTGAGTTAGATAAGACACAACAGCCTCGGGGCTTTGCTAGGGAATTCAAACACAATGTTCAAGTGTAATCTAGAAGAACTTTGAAGCAAGGAAAGTGTTTTTACCAAAGGTATGAATGAAGCTTTTTGTTGTGTTCGCTATTATTACAATAGCGTTTATTTTTGCAACATTGGCGTTAATATTTACCATATGATACGAAGAAGCATTATTTRAATTAAGTTTAAAATCACGAATTGATATTTCAATATTCTGTTCAAAAATGATTCAAAACCTAAACCTCATCTTATCAATTCTTTAATATTCTCATTCCAAAAATCATATTTTTCTCTACATAGCGAGGATGAAATCAATGTGTACTTAACTGGAAACCATCTCACCTTCGTTACACACAGAAAATAAGTATCGCATTAGATATTACCTCGAGATGTTTACAAGAATTAAGATAGAATCCGCCAAAAACGAGYTCCAAGGTCAGTCGATGTCGATGTATTTCACTGATACAACCTCAGCTATTCAAGTTTAACTCTAAGATACAGTTGATGCAACGTATTTTGATGGTTAATGGAGGGGAAATCTTTTTGGAATGATTAATTAACTCACAAAGGGTGAAAAAAAATTATCGTATCTGGTACAAATATTTTATTCCAAGAGTATCTAATAAAGTCTACTGTAGTAGCGGCAATTTTCCATTAACGTCTTCGCCAGGTTAACGCACTTAGCATAGTCAAAAACCTCGAAAATGATGGACGTTTCGGGTGTTTTATCTTTAAGACTTCTGTATAGTTTCCGGCTTCGTTTCAATTCTACTCGCTTTGTGCATTTTTCTGATCATTTAGCGCRGATAATACAGTGCAAAAGCATCTGGGTAAATAAGAGTCGAGTGTTTTATGTTTGTAAAACAAAACCATAAATTTGAGATTAGAGAATTAGATGGTTTGCGTCATCGACTGGTGAGAAGAATATGAGGGAAAAGATTTCCTGTGATGGTTACAATGAGAGGAATTTGTTGAATTGCGTTTGTAAAGAAAGAACGTTTTGAATGGTGAGAGGGTTTGTCGATTATAAATATAGAGCCGGACATGAAAATTYTAAAGAAAGAAAGGGTGAACAGAAGAAAGGAAGAAAGAAAAAGAGAAAAACAATAAAGGCCGAAAGAACGAAAGAAAGAAGTAGAAAGTAGTAAGAAGGTTAGGAGAAAGAAAGAAGGATGGAAGGAGTATCAAATAAACGAAAGAAAGAGAATGAAGGAGAATGGAAGAGATTATAGAAAGAAATATCGAAAAAGCAAAAGTCAATGGCTTGGGGAAAAGGTAAAAGCAATAATAACATAGAAAGAAAGAAAAGAGAAAATTTCGTCAAAAGGATTTCGTTTAAGA